TATTCAACAAACTTCTGAATAGAAAAGTACATGTATTTAACATATATGTGACATTTAAGTACAAATTTAAAACATGTATCAGCTGAATAAACAATAACTTTAAAAGGTTGTGTTTAAAAGTGGTGTTAGTTGGGAAGAGCAGGAGGAAGGAAAACAAATACGATCAAAGCAAATTATGAATAGTAAATGAAATCAATGTCAGTGTAGCTTATATAAATTATTTAGTAAAACCATTTATTTATTATATATAAAAGAAACATATATTTGGCATACCTTCAAACCACAACATACAAAGCATTCTTAAGTAAATGAGGCAATTTTGATTCCTATTATTTTGATCCACTTTATGAAGAAGCACAGCTAAGTTATCATGGAGTGTAAAAGGGCAGCTTCAGAAGTGTATAGCCCCAAGTTCACTTTATTAAAAAAAAACCCTCACTACATTATTGATTATTATCAGAATAATGACACGGATTAGGGCTCAGTGAGTTTCACCGATCCATCTTTAACTGTTGCCATGCAATCACCAAAGTCGGTAAAGAATTTTGTATATAACATTTCCATATTTGGTAAAGTTCAAAAACATTTATTGGAGAACAAATAAAAGAGTCTCTAAAATCATGTCGGAATATGCTGTGTTTCCAATGGTTGTCAGCTTTTTGGATGTACCATTGCATTACTGGCTGCATCATAGAGTCTATTTAATTACATATGTGCATCATAAACACAATATTACAGTGTATAAAATGTTTAAATGCTTTATATTCAGATGCCTGATGGACAGGTTCTTTATATACTTAACCAATCTATAATTCTTAGGGGCACAGAAAACAAACTAAAAACGATAGTGATAAAATATTTATTAAAGAAATCTAGCTTATTGTCATTGAGGTGATAAATACAAATCTTGAAATTATACAGGATATTCTGTAACTTCTACTTAATTAAGCCTTAAATATTGACATTATCTCAATTACTTCGTTCTTAATAATGTCCAAATAAATTAAGTATTCATTTCTTTTTCATCAAATTCCGAATTCTACAATCAGTTAAAAATTTTGCAGTTACAGAGCATTCTTTGCGTCAGTTATCAAAAGCCACAGTACACACTTCTAATCACAAATGTTCAATTCTGTTACAGTTTATGAATGTAAATTTAAGTGACATTAGTGTATCATTACATTAAATGAATACTGCATTCACTCATTTTTATGGTATTGAAAATATCACAATCAAAAGTATTACTTTTACTTATTAATGAATGTATTCTCTCAGTATAAAAAGAACAGGAACGAAGGAAAGCAATAATTCTTCATGTTTACTAATGCATTTTACTGGGACCATCAAGGTCAAATGCTTGCCAATGTCTTAAATTTAGATAACAAGTTGGGATTTTTCTCAGACACATTTATTTCTTTGGTTAATGCAAACCCCCTGAGGTCATCTTGAAGTTCTTACATGACCCTGAAGGGCCCATAGCCTCCAAATCCTTTCCACAAGTGCTACGCTGGATAACAGAAAGCACACTGAGTAATAAAATCCTCTTCTACCAAAGATCCAAAGACTATGTGGACAACTTTGTGAAGTTAATCATTTGAAGTGAAAAATTACTCCTTTGTTTTAAATCCGGGAAAGCTGATAATGAATGTGGGGCTCAAGATGAGCTTCTTAGGCATGGCTAATTAAGGGAGTCACTAAGAACAGTTATGCTGTATAATTTATATTAGATACATACATGTACCTATGTATAAGTAGCCCAGCAGTAGATAACCAACACAAAATGAACTCAAGAGTATTTTGGGAAGGTTTTATGTCTCACGGGGGGAGGCAGAGAGGCAGGAGTGAAGGAGAAAGGTACAGAAAGAGAGTGAATTTGAGTCTAAGAAGTAAAAAATAAACCCTCAGTTCACTTTCACAAAACCATGCTCCCTTTTCATACCCAGTATTTTGCATCAGTAACTCGTGTCTAAGACGTTCACATTATTTTTTAAAGTGTTAAGATGATAGAAATATTTTCATAAGCCTTTAAGGACCACAGTCACGAGTTTGATTCAACTCCTAGTCCTTTGTTCTGTTTACTTCCTATCTTGGGAAGGTAGGCAATGCTTTATTGTACCTTATATGTATCCCATATATTTCTATCCCAGAAACAGAACTGTACCAGCCTGTGTGTCTGTGTAGATATGAAAACAACTCAACTATAAAAAGACACAGGCTAACAGATTGGAGACAAAAACAGAATCCATCCTTCTGCTGCATACAAGAAACACACCTCAACCTCAAAGACAGACATTGCCTCAGAGTAAAAGGTTGGGGAAAAAAATTCCAATCAAATGGACCTAAGAAACAAGCTAGGGTAGCTCTCCTAATATCTAACAAAATAGACTTCAAAGTAAAATCTACCAAAAGAGACAAAGAAGGACATTTCATATTAGTCACAGGAAAAATCCATCAAGAGGAAATCTCAATACCAAACATCTGTGCCCCAATTACAAGGGCGCCCTCATATGTAAAAGAAACACTTCTAAAGCTTAAATCATACATTAAACCCCAGACACTTATACTGGGAAACTTCAACACTCCACTCTCACCACTAGACAGGTCAGTCAGACAAAATATGAACAAAGAAATAAGGGAACTAACAGATGTTTTGACTCAAATTGACTTAACAGGCATCTATAGAATATTCCATCCAAACATAAAAGAATATACCTTCTTCTCAGCACCTCATGTAACCTTCTCAAAAATTGATCACATACTCAGTTAACAAAACAAACCTCAACAAATACAGAAAAATTGGAATAACCCCATGTATCTTATCAGATCACCATGGTTTAAAACTAGAATTCAACAGCAATGCTAATTACAGAAGGCCCACAAACACATGGAAATTAAACAATGCTCACCTGAATCGTCAATGGGTCAAGAAAGAAATAAAGGGAGAAATTAACGACATCCTAAAATTCAATGAAAATGACCACACAATATACCCAAATTTATAAGGCGCAATAAAAGCAGTGTTAAGAGGAAAGTTCGTAGCACTAAATGCCTAAATAAAGAAGCTGGGAAAATCCCACACTAGTGAATTAACAGAACATTTAAACACTTTAGAACAAAATTGTGGATCCCCGAGTGGCTAGAGATCCCCAAGCAGAGGCAGTGGAAAGTGGTCCTCAGAGGAGCCAGTCCCAGGTAGGGGCAGCATAGTTCTCCAAGTGACTGCAGTGGGCCACGAATCCCAGGCAGGGTGCCGTGTGGTGGGTGAGAGACCTCAATGAGGTAGCCGGTCTCACGAGGAGAGAAAGACAGATGGGCATACCACGGGACCACACCACAGGTCATGTGCTCAACTATGTTCATAGTAGCATTGTTTGTCATAGCTAGACCTGAAAAAAAAAAAAAACTAAATGCACCTTGACCAAAGAATGGATAAGGAAAATGTGGTACATTTACACCACGGAGTTCTATATAGCAAAAAAATATAATGACTTCTTGAAATGTTCAGGTAAATGGATGGAGCTAGAAAACATCATTTTGAGTGAGGTAACCCAGACCCAGAAAGACAATTATTATATATAGCCACTCATAAGTAGTTTTTAAACATAAAGCAAAGAAAACCATTTTACAAATCACAATCCCAGAGAACCTTGACAACAATGAGGACTCTAAGAGAGACATCTGTGGATCTAATCTACATGGAAAGTAGAAAAAGACAAGATCTCCTGAGTAAATTGGGAGCATTGGGATCTTGGGAGAGGGTTAAAAGGGAGGGGAGAAGCAGGGAGGGAAGCAGAGAAAATGTAGAGCTCAAAAATATTTAAAAAAAAAAAAGAAAAGAAAGAAATCTGTGTGCTCTCAGAGTGGTGACACTATGTGAAAGGAGACTCCATGAATTGTATGCCAAACCTCTGTAAATATCTGTCCCTGTGAAAGAAGTTTCATCCAAAAATATACAGCACATGTTACCTGGTCTCTCTTTTAAATTTTTAATTTTTCTGTTTCTAAAACCTATTTGTTTTGTGTGTGCATGTCTTGCATACAGGTGACTGCACGTGTGCTATGTATGGGGGTCAGTGGGCAACTTGCAGGAATTAGTTCTCTCTTTCTACCATGTGGATTCTGAGCATAGGACTTGGGTCATCAGCTTAGCAGTAAACACCTTTACCCACTAAGTCTTCCCACTGGCCCCACAGATCTTAAAAATTTCTTTAGTAACCCCCATTGAAATGTGTTTGCAAAACAGGTCTGAAATGAGCTATCTCTTACATCAATAACTTTCCATTTCTTAATTATGAGTCCCTAGCTGGATATAGATTAGTACAATTCCATCTGGAGGTAAAAGCACCATTCAGGATGGTTTATTTCCATGCCCAACACAGAGTGTGGTGATCTAAATGGAAAATGGAGATCACAGTGTTCCTCATGAGTATTGATAAGTACTGAAAATAGGTTCATTAGTGAACAGTTTCCTATACATTTTACAAACAGAATAAGAAAATGGTTAAGGTGCAAAAAGGAACTGTTACGTGTACTTACAGAAAGGAGGTCACTACGGACTAAAGAGAAAAATCCTGCAGAATTAGGTGTCACGCGTCAGTATGTAAATAATGACAAACATTTTACACAATTATTATCTAGCAACTATAAAAATATACAGTTGAGTTTCATCTTTAAACAACAATTTTAAGAAGGTCCAATCCCCACAGCCTTGTTATATTCTTTTACATTAAGGAATTTCAAGAAATGCCTGCACTTGTGTTACAGTGAATTGCCTCATTGTGTGATGTGCTTAGAGGTCTGTAAGAGCAGCCGTTTGAAATGAGAATTTTATACAGCAAGACTCTCTCCGCTCACAGCGGAAGCGATGGGTATCTCCCAGCATCTTTTGGCCACCCATGAACATCTCAGAATATCTCTGATTTTGCAAAGTGGTAGATAATATAAAGTATTTATCACACTGAATCTCACTTCTCTTTAAGTAAATTTTTTTTTCATTCAAGGGCATTAACTGATCTGGAAGATGAACAGCAACAAAAGTCGTCCTTATTATTTCAAAATGGGATTGACAACCGGTTAAATTTCTACCTATCACTCTAAGATCAAGAGAGCGAATGTTAATGGCTCTGGTTAACTATCCAGTGTTGATTCGGTTCCAGTTTATGGACCCCGGTTTTCAAACAGGTAGGATCACATAAGAATGTCAGCTGGGAAGGTGAAAACGAATCTCTATTCTCAGTTTTCCGCTTTGATTCTTCCTTTATCCCATCCTTTGTTGGACTTCTTTTATTCTCTTTCTTTCTTTATCCCACATTGACCCTGTCTGTCCCTTGGTTAGGTTCCTCACTTAGTGTCTCTGTCTCCTCTTTCTACGTCCTCCTTTTCAAGTCTCCTAAATTTTTCAGTCTGAGTCCCCTATTTTAAACCATCTCCAGACTCACAGATCCTGTTTTGGTCATCAGCTCACTTTTGTCGCCCCTCTGCCTCCTGGCCCTGGCACTCAAGGCCTGAGAAGTCGATCTGTTAAAGAAGGCACTACTGGAAGATATGTTCTTCCTCTAGCCTGCACTTGGCCACCAAAATAATAATTCAAGTGCAAACCTTGACACTTTAATTCTTCAATCCATCAATGGCTATTTTTAAAGACAAGGGGAAAGGTAAGATATGGTGTAATGAATAGGAAAGCTGGAATTTGGGGTAAAGCTGCAATGAATTTCCTGGGAATTCTGCTAGATGTCGCTAGAGCATGTTGTAGCATTGAGCAGGACAGTGGCTCAAAAGAAAATACAAGGCAAACATGTTTCATGTATTTTAGAGCATCAGATCCTGTCAGGAATTAAAGAATATACAATAATTAGAAATGTAAAAATCTGACACTTCTGAGAGGAACACGTTAAACCTTTGAAAGGAAAAATCCATTAATATTTATTCTGTACATAATTTTAGCCTGAAGGAGAATCATCCAGATTCACAATCTGATGTGTTTTGAAATATTTCTAACATTTCATCGATTAATTAATGATACTAATATTTTCTGTGTATTTGAACAGTTCTTCAGTCAAGGGAATGACTCTCAAAGTCCCCAAGGACCTTGGGTTGCCAACATTCTGCCAGTTTTGCCTTTGATCAAAACCCTCCCGGTCTCCTTGCAAAATTGTACAATTCTCATATAATTTTAAACAGTAACAGTGGACGCAAGTGATTTGACCTATTTCTGTGGTTGAATTTGGACTTCCACTTACCTACTGTGTGGGTAACTATTTAAAGATAAGTACTAATCACTTTTTAAATTGTTGCCATCAAATGACTGATAAGCTGTTTAAGGGCAAGCTTTTTTTGGCTCCCACTTGAAGGGTACAATGTGTCACGGAAGAAAAGCCATGGCGACAGGACCTTCAGGCAACTGGTCACATTGTATCTGCAGCCAGGGAGAGAGAGGTGAATACTGATACTAAGCTCAATTTCTTCTTTTTTATTCAGTCAGGGTTCTCAACCCGTGAAATGGCCCTATGACATCAAGGAGGGGTTCTTCCCATCTCATTTAACCTTATCTAGAAAATCCATATATATATATATTTCCAATGGTTTCCATGGTGATCCTAAACCTTGTCAAGTTGACAGTCTATGTTAACCATCATAAATGGCACTGTTTAGTTGTATATAGAAATTTAATTGAATTTATGCCTTTTTAGGCACTTTGAAGTTTGAAAATAAGCTCCGTTCATCACCAAAATTACTATGGAGGAGATCAAGTTAGGCCCACCTCATCAAAAGAGTATGAAATTAAAGCGACTCACAGGCAACCTACTTAGTAAAAGTTGTAGTGTGTCTGTGTGTGTGTGTCAGAGAAAGATAGATAGATAGATAGATAGATAGATAGATAGATAGATAGAGAGATAGATAGATGATAGATAGGTAGATAGATAGATGATAGATAGATAGATAGATAGATAGATAGATAGATAGATAGATGAGATATAATGTGTCTAGTACTTTTTTCAGAAAATTTATTTTCCTATAGGTATGATGTAGATAATATAGAGATAATTAGAATTGGTTCCTGGAGGTGCCTGACAGATTTCTTAACCTAATACACTCCCATTTATTATTGCTAATGTCTTTATTGTGCACTCAAAATAATACTCTACCATCAAACCTCTACCCTCAGTTCTACAAATATTATAACTAGTAGCAACATATGTTTAATCAAAGAGTCACATTCATCTTGATCTTCTTGACTGATTTTAAATTAATTCAAATAAATAACTAGCAAAGGAGAGACTAAAACCAATTTTTATCCTATCCTTTTCTTACATAATTGTTTTCTAAACAATATAGACATGTTTTATAAAAACTTTTCATGCTTTGCAGAATTGTTAATGAACCAACTGCAAGGCTCTGTATCCTCAGCACCTCATCCATCCCTCCATCCATTCGTCCATCTGTCCATCCCTTGACTCATCTATGTAATACTTAATTGAGCACTCATCGTGAACCAGGCTTTTATGAGGCAATGAATTTAAAAGGAATTATAAAGATCTTCCAATACATCAACAAACCCAGAGAAAAAAAGTGGTTGGGAAAATGCTTAACCAACTGGTTGAAACACAATGAGATGCTTGATATGTTGGCACTATGCATGAGAATTCAAGATGGGCTTCCCGGAGCAGGCACTATCTTACACAAAAAGGACTGTAGTAGACATTGTGAAAAATTCAGTCCCCCACATCATCTTTACTTGTAGGAGAAAGATATGGAGATTGGAGGGGGGAAAAAAAGTAAAAAGAGAAAATAGCTCAATCATTAATTCTTCTCAAATTATGTACTATTGTCAAATAATAAAAAAGAATAGCCTACAATGGAATCTAAGAGCTAAATAATACTCTCTATGTATTCTACAACTTTGGTAAGATAACTATTATAAGCTTCTATTAAATTATTTTGTAAAAATTAGATTAGTACTTACCCTAGAGTGTTAGAAAAGACTGCATATGTTCATGCCTATGGGACATTACAACTATTAATTTATTGCCATCATTTTTTCCATAGCCCTAAATACTTATAAATGTATTTGACATGGAGTTTTGAGAAAAATCAGTATGGAAAAAGTATTGAATATGAAGTTAGAAGACGAGCTGGTGTTCAACTCTGCTGTAATTACTAAGCTTGTAACTTTGAGTCGGTCACGCAGCTTTTCTTCTAGAACCACAGGGTTTATTTATACAAACTAAGGTGACTGTGCTGTCTCTGGGTGATGAAGTTACATGAAATCTAGTTTGTGGTCCATTGTTAAATAGTGCAAGCTGCTCAAAATATTAGATACCGGGGAGGAGACAACAGAGAAGGGAGTCTCAGAAGCTTATCATAGCTATTGATACCTCAGTTTCTTCCTTGTACATATTATTATACACATAGTTCATAAACTGAAAAACTCTGTGAAAGCAGGTAATAAATTGACTAATTCATTAAGGACTGACACCTAACAAAATATCTAAGAATATTCAAGCTATGACAAAGAAATGTTTATATACTAATAATGAAGAGAATATTTATGTAGCTAGCTGCTCAGATGAGCTTTTTGATTAAAGAGGAGAAATATTCATCTTTTAACATGAGATGTCTCCCAGCGGTTCTACTATTAAAGGTTTGGATGCCAGATGGTGGCACTGTTTGGGGAGACGGTACAATGTGAGGAGGTGGGGTACAGGTGGAGAGATCAGGCTGGTAGGGCTGAGTTTCAGAGAGGTAGCCTGTAGCTGGCACCCTCCCTTTCTTGCTCTCTGTTCCTATCTTATATGGGGTGAAAAAACTCCTACTGTCAGGATATTCTGACTCATTCTAGGCTCAGAATCAAGGAAATCACGTCAAGTAAGCATGGGCTAAAGCAGCTAAAACCTAGAGCCCAAAGTCTACCTCCTTTAGCAGTTTCTATGGGTGTTTCTAACTCAGTAATGCAAAATCACCTCACCCAGAAAGGAGGAGGAGGAAACGGAAGTTAAAGAAGTCATTTCCTTGCCAGAAGCTTAGCGAATACAGGTTTAAGAAGAACGCAAAAGTGTATCACTCTAGTTAAAACACCTTCTGCTCCATATACGAACACTGGAAAAGATCAGATACGGTAAATGCCAAATTAAAAACATAAAATCTAACAATAATTGTTACAGAGTCAGAGCTACACCTGTATGGTTATAATTAACCATCTTTTATAAACAAGGATGTGGTTGAAGCATCTTCTGCTACTTCGTTAATTGTTTCCAGTTATATTCGAGAGAAAGGCTGAAACAAACACCTTTTAAAAATATAACAATCTAGCTATACTTGACCAAAGTGGGAAATTAATTTTTTTTACATAACAAAATTTAAAAACTCATATGACCACTTTATTGTAATTGTCTTCCTTTCCTGTGTGTAAAGTGGTGGGATCACAGCAATTGAATACACTTTCCTCTTAGACTAGCCCAGGCTCTTATGCGTCACAAAAATCTCCTTTGGGAAGAAAACAGAGCTCTCTCTCTCTCTGAAAATAAAAGGCCTGTGTATCAGCCAGAGAGCTTATCAGATTAAGGAAAGACAAGAAGGTTTACAATCCAAGACCAATCCCCCAGCACCACACCACAAAGGCAGAAAAAAAAAAAAAAGAGTCGTGTTGTTCCCAAGTCCATTCATAAAAGCCAAGCAGAGTTTTTTAATTCATCTGGCGTTATTAATTCTTAGTTGTAGGTACGTGGCCCAACCTCTGCTAAATTCTGTGAACAAAGAACAAACACTACAGTTTAACAGCAACTGTTTTGAGTTGCTTTGCCTATAGCATGCATAAAATTGGGAGCCAGTTTCACTAAAGGAAATAAAGTACAGGTTTAACAATAAATCCTACAGCAAGGAGCCTCCTTCAGGGAGGCTTCTCTTCAAAGCCAGAGAAAAACAAATGAGAAAAAAAAAAAACACTTCATGTTAATGAAAACTTTATTTATTTATTTATTTATACTTCTGTAAGTCTTTTTTAAGTCCAGGTAAGGAATTAATGAAAAGCGCTGATGGGAGTGAGACCATTGATGTTCCAGTTTGCTTGAAAATGAAGGAGGGAGGAGGAGAAGGAAGTAGATGAGATAGAAGAGGAGGGAAGGAAAGAAAGAGGAACAGAAAAGGAAAGAAACATGACTTCAAAAGTGCAGGACTCAAACTATCTCATTTTATGTTGAGCTCCGAGTTGGTGATCCCACAGAAGATGAATGAATGTCAGTTTGAAGGTTGTGCTTCTCTCCTGAGCTGAAAATTCTAGAACAACAGAAGTCAAAAACAGTCTCTTGTTTACTGTCTCTTACCTGCCTTGAAGACCTTAAGAAGTGAAAATTCAAAGACAGAAAAGACAAAAATGAGGAACAGGGAAGGTGGGTGTGTGAGTTTGTGTGTCCCATCAGGCAGAGTACTTTTCCTCTCTTGCCTTTTTTCTCCTAGGACGCCTTGGGGTGGGAAAGTCTTTGTTACATAAGCAAAATGATACTGAATCCTTGTCAATAAAGCAATAGTAGTTCAATAATTTAGTTACCAGGTTAACTACAGAAGCTCCACATGGTTGAACTAAGATGTTACACTTGAAACTGGAGTCAGGACATGAATTCATGTTGGTTTTGTTCTTTTAACAACATTGTTTCTTTCTATCTTCCGATTCTCAACCCAGGCCAGGAATCAATTTTGGCCTTGGTTTATAGAACTGTCCTTTGCCTCCATATATCTATGGAGCTCATGGGTATAAGAAGACTTGGAACAAGAAGACTCGGAACACCACAGACAAGCAGTCTTCAATTGGGCAGGAACAGAATGAAACCACCTCAGCATTAACATCAACCTCAAGTACCAATGCACTCTTGAACCAAAAACCCCTGCTCATAGTCAACAGGGAAAAAGTGCTGGGAATGGTGTGGCATATATTGCAATCCTAGTAGCCAACCTTCAAAGATTTGGGGCAGGAAGATCAAGGAGTTCAAGGCCAATGAGCTACAAAGTGAAGCCTTGTCAGACAAAAACATTTTTTTTATTGTTTGTTGTTGTTTTGTTTTGGTGAAAATAGACAGAGAAGCACAAGTCATTCTTCCCATACACTCTGGGTTAACACCTTTAATTAACCTTTTATTGCCATAGAACTCCAATGTAAGTGATTAATTGTTAATTATACAGCTATGTTATGTGTGTATGTGTCTGTATCCTGCAAATGTATCTGTGTATTCATACATTTATACTCTAAATCACACACATATATATTCATGAGTTCATGGTTGGGGAAATGGGGACAGAGCTGATTTTCACATCTGAGTTATCAGTCAGCTCAGTGTAGAAATAATTCCTGAGCTGCATCGATTCCCACAATCAAGAGTCGACATCAGGAACAGCTCTAAGAACATCTCAGAAATGACAAATATTAAGAAGCACAGAGACTCCCACAGAGCATCAATTTGGCAGCTCTCATATTATCTACAATTCATAGGACAGAGGAACTACAGAAAACATGTGAGTACTTGTTAAAAAAAAAAGTTTAGAGCACTCCTGGCTTCGCCTCATGTTTTACTTAAGCATTTCCCCAAAAAGCAGTACCTGATCTGAGACAGGTGTCTGCTTTTGAGAAGTTTACTGGAGAAGATAAAGCTGGGAAACTGGAGTTGGGGACTGGAAAGAATGGAACAAGGTGTTCAGTAAATCCATCCTAGGGTTCCGTGTTACACTGGCTCCTCCCATGGACAATTAGGTCACAGACCCTTGGGAATATGGTTGCTTGGTCTAGCAAATAGAAATAGGCAATATCCCTGTACATTTGAAAATAATATAGCACATGCATATTGTTAGCTTAGTTAAGGTCTTAATTTAATTGCTGTGACGAGACCATAACCAGAAGAAGCTTGGAGAGGTAAGGCTTCTTTCACTTCCATATGACAGTTCATTACTGAAGGCTATCAGGCAGGAACTCAAAGAAGGCAAAACCTTCATTCTGATGAAGGTCATGGAGGGGTGCTTCTTATTGGCTTGCTTCTATGGCTTGCTTGGCCTGTGTTCTTATAGAACCTAGGACCACCAGCCCAGAGGTGGCTCGACCCACAATGGGCTGAGCCACATCAATTACTGATTAAGAAAATGCCCTACAGGCTTGCCTACATCCCAATCTTTTGGAGACATTGTCTCAATTGAGGTTTCCTCCTCTTAGATGACTCCAGTTTGTGTAAAGTTGATATAAAAAACTAGCCGTGATAATGTTTTTATAAAAGTTTTGAAAACAAAACAAAAACTTAAAAAGAAACAAACAAACACATCCAACCCAAACTCTACATTTGATCCTGTTTTCAATCTCAGTGCAGTCGATCGAACTTGTTCAACAAGGGCACACCAGGCAAGGTCACACAGACAGGCACAGCTTTCCTGAACGACTAGCAAGATCACCGTGAGCCACCGTCGAGACAGCCCAGTAGAAGCCACTTCACGCTGAATGTTCATGGTGTAGCAATGTGACAAGCAAATGAGATTCTATCGAGATCCCAGCTGAGCTAAATAAAATGAACTGGAAACCTTGCAGCTCCCAGGATAGATAGTTCCTCTGAAGGAAAGAGGATTCTGGGTTGGGGGTATGGCTCAGTGACAGAACACTTGTTAGCGTGTGCACCGTCCTGGGGGAAACACGGGTATTTTAACCACGTGGCAATAACTCCTCCGGGAAGATCTCTGATTTATTCTCAGGAAGAAATTCTGAGGAGGAGAAGGAGGAGGAGGAGGAGGAGGAGGAGGAGGAGGAGGAGGAGGAGGAGGAGGCAAGAAGAAAGGAGTTAAAATATCATTTGAAACCAATTCGAGACTTTTCTCAGGACTAAATGAAAACTCTAAGACATTGTTTCTTAGTGGATGACCACGACGAGCTTGAGATTCTTATCTTTTGACCTTTGCCAAAATCTCTCTGGTTTTCCTTAATTCCATTTGTTTTCAAACTAACTGTTAATAATTCTCAGAAAGAAAATAGCATAGCACGAGGTTTTATGTTTCAGGGATTTATCATTCTGCAAGCCCTTTCTATCTAGTGACCTTTAAACTACTGCAGTCTAAAATCTGGATGAACCACATGTGTGCATTGCTTCAGAATTAAAGAGCAGTGGCATTTGCTTATTATAAATACTCTGATAGCCTAGCCTGGGAGGAGAAGGGAGGGAAAATCATATTCAGTCTTCTTAAGAAGTGGATTTGAGCATTTTAGTTATAACTGAAGTACATTTTATACTCACAGCGACATTCAAAACTAAGGTAAACTAAAATAATAATAATAATAAAACTTTAGAGTATAGAAATTTATCAATATTCTGCCATTCTACTGAAAGATTAGCTTCAAGTAAACGTAGTTAAGAGAATCATAATTAAGTTAATTTCTACAGCACAAGAGAGGCTGGAGAGCTGACTCAGCAGTTAACAGGCCTAGCTCATCTTCCGCAGGAACTGGGTTCAATTCCTGGCACCTATATTGTAGTAACAACCACCTGTACCTGCAGCTCCAGAAGGTCCAGGGCTTTCTTTTGCTAAGCAATGCACACATGTGGTGCACAGACACACATGCAAGCAAAACACTCATGTAAGGAAATTAAATATATATGAATCTTTTTAAAATCACCACAACAGATTCTGCCTCTACCATTTCCTTTCTTGATTAATATTTAGAAGTAAATTATAAGACAATGATAGCATACAAGTTTCAAGCATAGAATGGCTATTCACTTCTATACATTATACACAAAATGGCATAGCATTCATATTTAAACCAAATAAATATAAATATAAATAAATATAAAAATTTAAATAAAGATCTAATCTAAGCCCTGAAGGAACTATCAGTATAACAAAATGGTGATGTGTGAGTGATAAGTCAATAAAGAAGGCGTGAGTGGCTAATTGGTTATCAAGTTGACAAGGTCTAGAATCACCAAGGAGACAGCCTCTGGGCACCTGTGAGTGATTATCTAGGTTAGGTTAGTCAAGGAGAAAAGATCCACCTTACCTGTGTGTGATACCAGTTTATGAGCTAGGATCCCGAGCTGAATACGATGGAGACAGGGAGATAAGTGAGACTTTTTATCGTTCTGTGTCCTGGTAGAGGATACCAACCATCCAGCTACCAAAGAGCGCCTTCAGGCATCACTTCTCCTCCCACTCTGAAGGACTGCATCCTCAAACTGCAAGCCAAAGAAACCCTTCATGACATTGCTTTTGTTGGGCATTTGTCAAAGCTGCGAGAAAAGTAACTAATACCGGAAGCAATACAGAATGATTTTAAAATACTTGACCCACATAGAAAAGAAAAAGAAGGAAAGGGAGTAGACAATATTCTGATGAGAAAGGAAAAATCATCAGAAACCACAGAAAAGAAAACAGGACAGATTTAATTTAAAAATAAAAACAACAGAGAAACAAAATTTTAAAAAACAGGTTTGACTTGCTCCTCAGTACAAAAGAGAAAGCTGAAGACTGCCACAGCAGGGTGTTTCCTTCTCTACGTAGAACTCTAGAGAAAGATGCCCACAAACAAGACTCTCCAAGTAAACAAGAGGAGACATCCGTCACGGCAGATAGGAAAATTGTAAGACACAAACAGAAAAAAATATAAAAATTGAGACAGCATAACTTCTCTAAGTCATTATGATTGTTGATTATGAAATCCATAACTAAATAACTCAAAGGCCACTTGTAAAAATGAAAAAGCAACATCATCCCAAAAGGATGCAAACAAGATGATGAACATTCAGAGTCACAAGAGGAATGGAAAACCTCAGGTAGACAAGACCAAATAAACCCCTCCCCAGAGCACATTACGGCTAAAGAGCTACACATATACAACAAAGGAACAATACTGAAACCTATGAGCGGAAAATATCAACTTATTGCAGGCAAACTGATCTCAGTTCTCAGGACTACTGTCAGCAGGTAATAATAGTTCAGATTGTCTAGAGGGGATTAAATCTATAAATTATAAGATTGCCAGGTTTTAAAGTCATTAACTTATCTCTTCAGGGCAGAAGTGGCAGCTCTTACTGGGACAGGTGGAAAGACAGCAAGATCATTTGCTGAGTTTTAAAGGGCCACTGCCTTCATCCACTGAGTCATCTCAATTCCTGGAACACTTCCTCTATAGCTCGTTTTGATGACACACCAAATTCAATAGTTCCTGGATTTCCATTTTCTGGTCTTGCAGCTAACTCAGCTTTAATTCTCACCACCCACTTTGAGCAACTCCTAACTGCCTGTCAGTCCTTTTCCATGGGATCTGACATCCTCTGTGGCCTCCATGGGTACTTGCACACATGACATGCAGAGAAAGAGAGAGAGAGAGAGAGAGAGAGAGAGAGAGAGAGAGAGAGAGAGAGAGAGAGAGAGAGAGAAACACACACACACACAAAACAAAAATAAAACATGTTTAAATTATGCCAAATCTCTGGAGATTCTTTAAAAATTCTGAATGTGGAAGAAATTAAAATACAGTATTTTGATTTCATATTTTGTTGGCGAATGTTGGCATTTGAACTTAAGCTTACTTGTTCCTACTGAATCTCATGTCAAGCAGAAAGATCATTATTCATTGTTTAACAGTGGGTTCTTAGTGAATGTGTTTAGTTGGTTTTCTCAGAAGTGTGAAGGAAGACACTGACTATTTTCCTATATTGCTATTTCTAGGATTTTGTGGTGTGTCACATAGTTATTTGGTGTAAGTATTACCCATCCATGGGGATTTTCTGTGGAATAACTTTTACAAGTAGAATTTCAAAGGAGAGTAGAGAACTGTGTTTACAGACATCCACCCACACCCTTTCCCAGGGTGGAGTGTGCTTTCCAAGTTTTACCGTGAACATCTTTGAAGATAGGAGTCGAGTCTAAAAAAAGAAAACTTTTGTTCTGTTAGACTGACAAAGGTGTTTTACCTTCTAAGTTTAGAAAATCGTGTGGGGGTGGATATCCAGAAAAGTCTCAAGGCATTTTCACAATCTTAAGAGTGTGAATAACGAATCTCAAAATTAAGTTGGTGGAATCACTCAAAACAGGACTGCCCGATTCACGTAGGACCCAATTTTAATGTTTGTCTTCCTGTTCCTATTTGAGCCTCGTTGCTCTTTTTACAGGCATGCAATGGGCACTGCATGCGCAGCCTCTGTGAAGTGCGTTCGTGTCTCTTTACTCTCACGGACACGGCATAGCTTAGGCACACAGAAAAGCTGTTCCCTCGAGGAGCGAGGAGTAGCTGTGCAGCCAGGAGTAGAAACACACAGAATTA